TTTTGTCAGAGAAATTCGGTGCCCTGACTGCTCAGACTGGAGTCATAGGTCCTCTCCTTATACTTGAGTATGGAGTCTACCCCAGCACTTAAGTTGAGAGAGAGATAACAGTGGTCCCCCTGAAGAAAAGGCAAATGAATGTGGGACGGTTGGGGTTTTTTTTGGTTTTGGGGTTTTGGGGGGGCTGGTTTTTTAAAAGCTGTCAGTTACAACCATTATGTTTATGAGGAGTGCATATGCTAGAGTTACAAACAGAGTTGAGTGTAGCAAATAGAACATTTGACCCCATATACAATAGGCAAAGAAGGATTCCCTCCTCCTTTACCCCCTCCCTCCTTCCTTTGAGCAAAATTTAATGAGTGCCTTTTTTGTTCCAGGTGCAGAATATAGATTGTCCTAGACATTGACCCTGCCCATTAAGGAGTTTACAAGGTAGTGAGGAGGAGAGAGAATAAAAGCAAGGCCCCCACATTCATTGAGAATGTCCATTTTAAGAAATAAAAATATGAAGAGTGTTTCTGTGTTTTTTGTAAGACTACAAAGACAGTGCCAACCATTGTATTATTTAACACTGTTTAACATCTTTTTTACTTAATTCTGTTTTGTTCAATGCTTGGAATAAGTCTTTCTGATCTGCTTCATTAAATAGTGGAAACTCCATGATCCACAATTTTTTAATTTTTTTGCCTAGGCTTCTGTAAAACTCAGAGTTAAAACCTGTGGTTAATTAAAAATAGCTTTCCTTAGCCTAAGTTTTCCTTGAGACTAATTTGCCCTTTTTTAAAATTCTTGATGTATGGTTTTGTGGTCTTATAGTACCTAGGACTTTTGTAGTAAGGTACTTCAAAATAGAGATATGACAGAGATAAACAAATGAATACCTTTAACTTTTACTTTTATCTTAACAGTCTCTGCTTCTGATCTATAGCAGGTTGCTAATACATCCCCCACCAATGCCAGTCATTTCCCTGTGTGTATACAGACATTTCTATCAGAGTATTCACAGTTTGTATATACAGATAGTGAGATGAACACATGTGGATATGTACATTTTTTAAAGACAACCAACATGAAAATATTTTTGTGACATTGAAGACTCAACAAGTAATGTTTACATTATTTTTTAGCTGTAGGTTTTATTTTATTCTTTTTTTAATAATTTTTTATTGTTATGTTAATCACCATACATTACATCATTAGTTTTTGAGGTTTTATTTTATTCTGTACAATGGAAAAAAAGAGAAAAGCAACAAATAATCCAGGGTTTAGGGAATACGTTCATGCAGTGGTTCTACACTGGAGACATTTGGCAATGTCTGGAGACATTCTTAATTGTCTTGACTACTGGAATCTTGTGGGTAGAGGCCAAGGATGCTGTTAGACATCCTACAATGTGCAGGACAGGCCACCACAATGAAAAATTATCCTGTCCAAAATGTCAATAATGCCACTATTGAAAAACCTCACATTAATAGGATTTTTAGAATTCTAAACCCTGAAAGGATTCAGAACAATCTTGTAATTTAGGCATAAGACAACACTAAAGGCAAATTAAAGTCATAGAATTAAAAAAAAAAAAAGAATCATGGAGCTGACAGGGAAGGTCATTTAGTCCAGTCTCCCTTTGCATATGGTAACTAACTCCTGGGGCGCCTGAGTGGCTCAGTCAGTTAAGCGTCCAACTCATGATTTCTGCTCAGGCCATGATCTCAGGGTCATGAGATCGAGCCCCGCATTGGGCTCCATGCTCAGCAGGGAGTCTGCTCAGACTCTCTCTCTCTCCCCACCTCTGCCCCTTCCCACTGTGCCCTCGTGCGCTCTCTCTCTCTCTAGCTCTCTCTCAAATAAATATGTAAATCTTTAAAAAATAATTAAAAAAAGAACTCCTCCACTCCTAAACATGTGATGAGGCAACTTCCCCAATCTCTCTGTGCCTCAGTTTCCTGTTCTACAAAAGGGACAATAAAACTTGCCTCAAATGATCGCTGTGAGGAGTAATTGAAATAATGCATATGAAATGTTTAGTTCTGTTCCTGGCCACAGTGAGTTGTTGATAAAAAGTGGTGGTAAGAGCCAAGGTGGTGACTCTCATTACTGTTGTTGCCCCAGCTGGTTGAAACCTGTTCCCGACTCTCAGTCCCATTTTCTTTCTATTGCACTGCCTTGAAAGGTTATAGGGGCAACTCAGTAGGGATTAAAAAAGACTAGTCTGAAAAGGAGCTTAGTAGCTGGTAATTCAAGAAAAACAACAAAAATTCTTCAGAGAGATAGGGGGTTAAATTGTAGGTAGACACTTTAAGGAAGGCACAAAAAAGATTGGTTCCCACCTGAAACAGGCTACCTTCCCTCTTCCCAAAGTTTTGTGAATGATGTGCCAGGTGGTCATAGGGATCAGATAACCTTTATCAAACCCTTAGAGCCCTGGCCATGTCTTACAGCCCTGACAGGATGTCTGTCCATCGGGAACAATCTGAAATGCCAAGATGGTCAGGCATTGTATCTGGGGACCCTTTCAACTCTAAGATTCTCTGATGTCTGATAAGTTTTGTGGACTTTGTGCTGGAAAGATCATGTGACATTGTAGATAATGCCCAACAGGCATACATAGACAACCACAAATCTCCTGTTTTATCATTTGTGGAATAAAAAAATTGCTTTATTAGGGGTATCTGGGTGGCTCAGTCGGTTAGGCGTCCGACTTTGATCTCTGCTCAGGTCTTGATCTCAGGGTCGTGAGTTCAAGCCCTAGGTCGGGTTCCATGCTAGTTATGGAACCTACTTAAAAAAAAAATGCTTTGTTAGGTTTTACTAATTCAGTTGACCAGTACGAGCATATGATTAAGATGTTTCTGCAAATACTTTTTTCTCTGAAAGTAATAATAAATTACCAACAATTCTGTGAAATAGGTTTCCTCTTATTTTCTTAAAAGACTTTTAAAAATTTTTTGCAGTTACTCTAGGAGTCAATTTTTTATTTCCCTTGTTATTTTTGCCAACTAAATTGTTTTTAAACAGTAGCTCTCTATAAAAATTAGCAGAATTCAAAAGCATTAAACTCTCTGGACCACAAGCACAGATTAAATTTTCTGGAGGAAAAAATCTCATTCATTTAGTAGCCTTCTCTCAAATATCCCATTTGTTGAATTGAACTCCTGAAATGATTCTATACCCCACAAAGACACTCTACATAGACATTTTCTCCTACATCTTACATGTCAGTGCTCCAACTGTTCTAAAGATTATTTTAAAAAATCAACAAGAACAAGTTGATACACGAGAAAACAACTACTCATAGCTGACTTTATCTGTCTTCTATGTTTTTGTGTGACATTAAAGATCCACAGAACATCTGGAGAAGAGCAGCACACACACGTCCAGTGAATACGGGCTGAGCACCAGGCACGGTGCTAAACACCTCTGGTAGCACAGGGCACGCCACCCAGGCCCAGAGAAGTTAAGCTGTTTGCCCCAAGCCACACAGTTGGTAAGCAGGAGAGCCAGCAACACAGCCCTACCTGGCTCCGGGTGCATGGGTTTTTGCTGCATACTAGATCTTTACAAGGAATAATTCAAGACTTAGAAAAATAAAAAATCTCCCATAAGATGTGACTGTTTTTCATTTTAGATGCCTCATTTAGACTAGTGTTATGTTAATTTGACCTTCATTTTTTTTTTTTTTTAAGGTGTTGTGTAATGGACCAGGAACATGTGTTCCTATCTGCATATCTGCCCTTCTCCTTGGGATACTAGGAATAAAGAAAGTGATCATTGTCTATGTTGAAAGCATCTGCCGAGTAGAACACTTATCCCTGTCCGGAAAGATTCTGTTTCACCTCTCCGATTACTTCATTGTTCAGTGGCCAGCTCTTAAGGAGAAGTATCCCAAGTCTGTGTACCTTGGGCGAATTGTTTGACGAATGACAACTTACTTCTCTAGAATTTTGCAGTCAACCATATTTATTATAATCGGAGTGGAAAAAACCATGTTTATCGTAAAGGCTTCTGAAGGTCCTGAGAATTATTGGTGGTGAAGAGTAAAAAATGTGTAAATAATCCAGTAAGGAAACTGAAGGTGCTCTTATAAAAAAAAAAAAACATTAAGGGGCGCCTGGGTGGCTCAGTTGGTTAAGCGGCAGACTCAGGTCATGATCTCAGGGTCATGAGATCAAGCCCCGTGTCAGGCTCCCCGCTCAGCATGGAGTCAGCTTGAGATTGTCTTTTTCTGCCCCTCTGCGCCTCCCCCCACACTTGTGCTCTCTCTCTCTCTCTCTAATAAATAAAATCTTTTTAAAAAATTAAAAATAGAAATGAAACAAACATTAATAAACCATTAAGTATTTATGCCTCTGTGTACCAAATTTCTTTTCTTTTGTATCACTACCTGCAGGTTATCTTCTGACTTGTTTTAGTAATTTTTTCCTATAGCTAAATATAATATTAGTATGATTAGTAACATTTCCTGTTCTGCAGCTCTTTTTTTTTTTTACAATATTCTGCATTGTAAAAAGAAAAGAAAGATATTTCTTAGATTTGTTCAGATACAGCAGGCTCTGTTTCCTGTATGGAAGCAGTAAAGTCCCTGGTGAATCCTTTTAGCATAAAGGAAGCAGTCATATGACATGGGCTTCATGACAAGTTGCACTCCACAGGCTTCCAGAACAGTGAGCATAAACCAGTATCTTTTTTTGTTCTTCAGTTTTGCTTTGTGAGTCATTGCCCTCAATCCAGAAGATCTTTTGAAATCCCTTGTTGAATTGTTAAAATAAATTAAAAGGTGATTCTGTTTTTCAGGACCCAAACTCTCAAATTCACAACAGCATGGCTGTCGTCATCCCTGGCATTTTGAGATGGTTAGGCTCGGTAGAGTGTATTTTTACTAAACATTTATGTGAGGGCTTGCTATGTGCCAGGTATTCTTCTAATCACTTTTCAAATCTTAACTCACAGAATCCTAATAACAACTCGGTGAGGTCGAGACTGTTATCATCTCCCTTTTACAGATGCCCAATAAATGGCAAAGCCGAGATTCCAGCCGCAGCAGCCTGGCTGGAGGGCGAAGCCTGTTTCCCCGGGTGAGCAGCCTGTGCCGTCACACACGGACCCATACTCAGGAGGGCCCTGCACTTGCTTTCATACTCTGCTGTCACGGATTTCTTAATGGATGTGGAACAAGGGACCCGTTCCCCACAAAATAATTCGTTGATCCTGCTTGAGAATCTGCGCCACTCTGCCAAGTACCAGCAGTACAACCCCGACGGCCAGGCCGGGCTGGGCCGGGCAGCTCCTCAACGAACGGGAGTCCTGTCCCCTTCTGCTAAGCTCTGTCCTTTAACAGCGAGAAGACCCCTCGTAGTGTTTGAGGTGTTCCTTTTCTCCACTTAAATCTGTTTCGGAAGTATGATGTACATCTAATAAATGGTAAGAAATTAATGACGAGATGGAGTGTCCGTGAAAATGCGTGAATACCTAAGAGGTACAGTGAACATGCTGAGGCCCATCTAGCTTTTATCGCTCTTTGGGCAAACCTTGTCTGGAAAAAGTAGGCACATCTGTCACCAGGACATTTTCCTAGGTGTTTGGCTGAGAAGACTCTCGGAATAGGGAAACTATTTTGCTGTCTGGTTCTGTGGCCTTGGGGCAGCCAGGAGGCAGTTCGTTGTGTGCTTTGACTTTAATCATCGAACGTCAGGTGCTGCCCCTGCTTCCAGTGGTGGCAAGGCCTGGAATGTCAGATGAAATAAGCCTCTACTTCTCTAGAGAGAAAGTGATTTTCTGGGGGGGATAAGAGCATGTACATTTTTTCACCTTTGAGTTTTGCTCTGCTCTGCACTTTGTTCCTAAGTGGCACTAGGTCCATAGTTAACGCATGAAATTGGACGGCGTTCAGTTCCAGTTCCGTCCATGCCTGTCTGCGCACCGGCACAGCTTGCCCCAGCCCCCACAGGTAATCCTGCTGCTGAGGCTCCTGTCAGGCCAGAGCGCGCAATGCTTAGGCCACAGAGAGTTGTTAGAAAAGATGCCATCATTTTTTCCAGAAATGTATGTCCCAGATGTTTTGCAGAGCCTTAACTTAGACAGTGGTTAGCCTGGAATGTCAGAGGGAAAAAAATCTCATGTGTGTTATATCACTAAAAATTTAGGACTGTCTTCCTGGATTCCGACTGCTGTGCACACATTCAGAGTGAGGTTTGCTCGGTTCCAGATTATTTGGTAAACAAGCGCCTGCTCTGCTGTGTGTTGTTGTTATGGCTAATTCAGGTCCTCAAGGTCACATTAGCAAAGGGGCACAGCTTGAAAAACATCGTGCTCTAGTCTCAACTCAAACTGAACATCAGTGGCTACCTTGTCCTTTTGGATTGCTCTTGAAACACTCCGGAATGCACCTCTTACTGGAAGAGACTGTTCACGAAAAATTAATTGCATCAGTCTTTAAATGAGAGACAAGGAAACCACACATCCTGCCCACACCTATTTCCCTGGAAGATTTTTATCTACAGTTCAGTTGTCCTAAAGGGTTTCAGCAGCTTGCCAGGCTAAAAGTCTAACTATTTCATATAGGACATCCAAAAGTCATCGCGGGAAGCTTTAGCCAGGAACTCGGAGTGCTATGAAGCCGTATCAACAAGAGGAATGTTGTACAATTTTAGACTGAATAGCAAGAAGTTCTTGCTAAAAAGGAGATGACCCTAGCTTTCCCGTATAAAAGCAACTTGAAACGTGTTTATTTGGCCTTCCAAAGTGAGATTCAAACTGAGAAATGTACTACCCCCTTACTGTGCAGTTCCTTAGATTGAATCAGTGCTTGATTTCTTCTGAAAAGCCCCATCTCACCAAAAGGAGTTTGACAGCAATGTCTTAAGCCTCTTTTATCCACAGGAAGAACATCATCGTGAGTGTTAAAGAAGATTGTCCTTCTCCATACAGCTCACTCCATATAGTGGGGCCATGTGGAGTTTCTCCCCCATGATTTCAGCTCTGTCCAGCAATGAGCAGACACCCAGATTTTCTTGTCTGCCCTGAACTTTCTTCCGCTCAGCCCGCCACTCTGGTGCTCTAAAAACAAATTGTCTACACTTACGTTCTTCCTGCTGACTCACTTTAAACATGGATTTGACATAGCTCCCCCTTTTTCCCTTCCAGAGTACTTAACTGCCGCTAGCCCCTCTCTCTCTCAAGCAACAAACTTTGGAATAATTGTTTTGTACTCTCTTCCCTTAATCCATGTAGAATTGGTTTCTCTCCCCTTATTTTTAGTATCCCCAGAATTTTCCCTTGTCTTTCCCTCCTCTTCTCTCCTTGTCATCTGAATTCACCTATTGATTCTGCCTTTGAACCAGTTCACACTCACCCTTTCCTCTTCAGTCCCATGGTCACAACCTAAGCTAACTCTTCAACATAAATTCCTTGTTTTATTAGCACATTTGTTGAGGAACTGAGGCATAGGGAGATTAAGTATCTTATCCAAGATTTTATAACTAGAAAGTGACGGAGCGGGATTTGAACAAAGGCACTCCAGCTCCAGCCAGACTTAACCTTAACGGCTGGGTTAGGTTTAAAAAAAAAAAAAAAAAGGGCGCCTGGGTGGCTCCGTCGGTTAAGCGACTGCCTTCGGCTCGGGTCGTGATCCTGGAGTTCCGGGATCGAGTCCCGCATCGGGCTCCCTGCTCGGCGGGGAGTCTGCTCCTCCCTCTGACCCTCTGCCCTCTCGTGTTCTCTATCTCTCTCATGCTCTCTCTCTCAAATAAATAAATAAATAAATAAATAAATAAATCTTTAAAAAAAAAAAAGGGGGGCCAGGAATGGGGATGAATGGGGCGCTTGTGAGGGAGAAGAAGGTGCTGGCTGCTCTGGAAAGGGGTACCAGGAAAGACCTCTCTAAGGAGGATGTTTTCGCTGAAATCTGAAGGATAAGCCTCGAATATTTGTCCTCCTTCCACTTCCCCTCCCAGCTTACATTTCACCTCCACCACAAACTCTTCCCCATCTCCCACAGCCTTGTTTCAGCAACTTCTTCTTTAAACACCTTGGTGACATAGCCACCCATACCTAAGGTTAGCACTGAGCTGCACAGACCATCATAGTGCAGTACCTTGTGTTTAGAAACACCTGTAGAAGGAAGAAATGAATGCTTCTGATCATTATTTCTTTATGTTCACCTTACATCAGGGATTATACCTCATGCTTTCATGGCCTTGCTCCCCTCTTGGTCACACCTGCCACAGTTCTGGACCAAACGTAGGCATTGACTACACATACAAGTTCTCATACCTTCAGATTTTGTCTAGGCCTACTTAGTTACAGCTCATCTAGACCAACGCTCTCAAACTTTTTGGTCTCAGGACCTCATTACACTCTTGAAAATTATCGAAGACCCCACAAACTTTTGTTTATGGTGGCTATAGTTGTCACTATTTACCACATTAGAAATTAAGACAGGGAAACTTTTTAAACACAATAATACACAGGACACGTATCACTAGCCGTCAGAGCAATGATATTCTTACACATCATGAAGCATCTAGAAGACTGTAAGATCATGAGAGAATGAGAGGGAAAAAGGAAAATGACATCTTTGCATTATTATGGAAAATAGCTTTGACCTCATGGACTCCTGAAAAGGTCTTGAGGACCCCCCAGAGGCCCCTGGGCTACATTTGGAGAACTGCTGCTCTACATAATGGCGCATCAATAACTTCATTTCTATCAGCCTTTAATCAGTCAATGATCTATGTGCTAGTTTTCTATTGCTGTGTAACAAATAGCCATGAATTCAGTGGCTTCAGACAACAGCTGTTCTCTCACTGTTCTATAGGTTAGAAATCCAGGCAGGGCATGACTGCTTCTCTGCCCAGGGTCTTACAAGGCTCTAATCAAGGAGACAGCCCCGGCTGGGTTCGGATCTGGAACTCTGGACCTTCTTCCAAACTTATTCAGGTCGCTGCTGGCATAATTCAGTTCCTTGCAGTTGTAGGACTCATGGTGACCTGTTTCTTAAAGGCCAGTGAGATTATCTACTGCTGCTTGTCTCTTTTAAGGCACTGATGTGATGGGGTCAGGTACATGTAGGATAATCTTCCTTTTAATTAATTCAAGATCAAATGATGAGGGACTATAATTACATCTGCGAAGTCCCTTTTGCTATATTAATGTAACATAATCAGGGGAGTGATAGCCCATGATATTCACAGGCCCCACCAATACTTGGGGATTATAAAGGTGTGGATGCGACAGGGTAGAATATTGGTGGCCATCAAGAATTCTGCCAACCACAATCTACCAAAGGTGTTTTGTTTTGGGGGAGAGGGGATATGTTTTTCAAATCTTTCACTTAGACTACAAACTCCTACCTCAATGTCCAAGTTTTGTAATTTTTTTTTAATACAGGAAATGCATGTCTTCCAAACTGCATCACTTTTCCAGCAAGTTCTTCTGTGCTTGGTTTGTTGACCTGTCAAATAGGCATAATGATAGTCCCTCCTTACAGAGTTGTGTGCACTAAACTAAGATGGTACATGTACCCCCCTTTAGCACAGAGCCTGGCACATAATAAGCCCTGAGTAACTCTGTGTCTCCAAGTAACCAACGTGACTTCCATGGTATGTAAGTGGCCTGAAGGAAGGTGGTGGTCCTTAAACTAAGTGCAGCAACCATTTCCCACCCTCTAGGATAGCTATCATAAAAAGTTGTCTTAAAAGAAAATAACAAGGGTTTCCAAGGATGTGGAGAACTTGAAACCCTCATACATTGCTCTCATACGTAGGTTGGTTTGGCAGCTGTGGACACCAGTTTCTCAGTTCCTTAAAAAGTTAAACATAAAGTTACTGTATGGCCCAGCAATTCCACTCACAATTGAAAACACACGTTCACACAAAAACTTGTACACAAATGTTCATACCAGCATTACATAATAGACAAAAAGCAGAAACAACCCAAAGGTCCACTGAGCAATGAATGGATTAACAAAAAATGTGGTATATCCATACACCAGAACATGACTTGGTCACAGAAAGGAATGACATGATACAACATGGGTAAATGAACCTTGGAAGCATGCTCAGTGAAAGAAGCCAGTCACAAAAGACCACATATCATATGATTCCCTTTATACGAAATGTCCAGAATAGGCAAATCCATAGACAGAAAATAGAGCTACTGTTGCCAGAGGTTGTGGAGGGGGCCATGGAGGTGACTCCCAACGGGGATGGGACTTCTTTTCGGGATGATGAAAATGTTGTGGGATTAGATAGTGCCTATGGTTGTACAACTCTATACCAAACGACTGAACTGTATGTACACTTTACATGGGTGAATTTTATGGTATGTGAATTATTTCTCAAAAAAAATGATTTCTCCATCATCAATAGTAAAGGAATCTATCCATATATATTTGTGGGTGAATATATAGATGGAAAAAGGCGAAACAGCAAACTAAG